AGATAAGCATCCCAAGCTCTGAGGATTACCTGAGAAGGAATCCCACTGGAGTATTGCAGCGCACGCAAAAACCTGGGAGTCACTCTGGACCGTTCTCTGACCTACAAGAATCACTGCCTGAATATCAAGCAAAAAGTGGGTGCTAGAAACAATATCATACGAAAGCTGATTGGCACAACCTGGGGATCACAACCAGACACAGTGAAGACATCTGCCCTTGCGCTATGCTACTTTGCTGCTGAGTATGTATGCCCAGTGTGGAACACATCTCACCACGCTAAAACAGTGGATGTGGCTCTTAATGAGACATACCGCATTCTCATGGGGTGTCTGCGCCCTACACCACTGGAGAAATTACACCACCTGACATCCGCTGGGAAGTAGTAGCCAATAGTGAAAGGACCAAGGCAGTGACATCTCCAGTTCATCTCTTGTTTGGGTATCAGCCAGCACGTCAACTACTTAAATCAAGAAATTTCTAAGATCTATAGAGACACTTGCTGGAACACTCCAGCAAGTGAGAGTCCAAAAGTGGCAGGCTCAAGCCCCGAACCTCAATCAATGGCTGATACCAAATGAGAGACTTCCCCCTAGGCACACAGAAGACTGGGCGACTTGGAAGGCGCTGAACAGACTGCGCTCTAGCACCATGAGATGCAAAGCCAACCTTAAGAAATGGGGCTACAAAGTGGAATCCACGACATGCGAGTGCGGAAAAGAGCAAACCACTGACCACCTGCTGCAATGCAACCTGAGCCCTGCCACATGCACAATGGAGGACCTCCTTGCGGCAACACCAGAGGCACTCCAAGGGGCCAGCTACTGGTCAAATGACATTTAATCAATTACCAAGCTTGCAAACCCTGTTTTGTCTGTTTGTTAAAAAAATGCAGTACAACTGTTTGGTCTGCTCCTGACACGATAATAAATAAATAAATGCCACATTAGGCATATAAGCAAAACAAGAATGGCAAACCAATGGGCGTCTCTTTGGACTCTAATCCTCATCGGGCACAGATAGAATGGCCAAAGTTGAGGGCTAATGGGATTTGGAGTTTGAGTTGCAGGTTCTCCCATCCCATTTCATAGAATCTTAGAATTGGAAGAGACCTGGTGGGCCATCCAGTCCAACCCCATTCTGCCAAGAAGCAGGGAAATCACATTCAAAGTCCCCCCAACAGATCGCCATCCAGCCTCTGTTTCAAATCCTCCAAAGAAGGGGCCTTCACCACACTCCCTCTGAGGTAGAGAGAGTGTGTTGCACTGCTGAACAGCTCTCAAAGTTAGGAAGTTCTTCCTAATGTTCACATGGAATCTCATTTCCTGTAGTTTGAAGCCATGGCTCCACTGCAGAACAGAGGAGTAGCAAGACTTCCCTGGATCTGCCGGGAAGTAGCAGCCAATAGTGAAAGGACCAAGGCAGTGACATCTCCAGCTCATCTCTTGTTTGGGTATCAGCCAGCACGCCCACGACTTAAATCAAGAAATAGTTTTCTAAGATCTACAGAGACACCCACTGGAACACCTCAGCAAGCAAGAGTCCAAAAGTGGCAGGCTCAAACCCAGAACCTCAATCAATGACTGGTGCCAAATGACAGACTCCCTCCTGGGCACACAGAAAACTGGGCGACTTGGAAGGCGCTGAACAGACTGTGCTCGGGCACCACGAGATGCAGAGCCAACCTTAAGAAATGAGGCTACAAAGTGGAATCCACGACATGTGAATGTGGAGAAGAGCAAACTACAGACCACCTGCTGCAATGCAACCCGAGCCCTGCTACATGCACAATTGAATCCCTATGAAGACAGCTGGGACAATAGTCAGCTCTCAACATTTGCTTGAGTTAGAGATTCACGACCCCCATGAAAGGGGAAAATTATAAAATTTTAAATGTGCTATTTTTTAAATATTCTTTATTGATTTTAAAATGCATAATATAAACATACATAGGATGGGGGGGGAGAGGAAGCGGGAAAGGGGGAGGGGCAAGCTAGAGGGAGTGGGGAAGGGGATGTAGGGAAAGAAGGAGAAGGGGTGTAGATAGGAGGGGGGGAGGGAATGGGGAAAAGATTTCCATGAATATTATTTTGATAGTTAAACCTTTGATTATTACCAACAGTATAAATGCATATACAAAATACCAACGTTTCCCATGTAAAAACATGAGTCCCGTATCCTTCCCCTAGAAGGGTGGGAATAAGGGGGGGGGGGGGAATAAAAGGTGACTTCCGTTTGGTTTCCTCTCAGAGTGTTCTCTGGATCTCTACAGAGACCCCTTGTGGGTCCCTTGAATTGGTTTGCACCTTACTGTCTAAGAGTCGGTTCATCCGTGTCTCATCTGTTTTGCTCCTTGTCGTTACATTGGTATCTCTTACTTTCATATTCGTCAAGACAAGACCAATCCGTCTGTCTGACTGGTTTCCCGGAGCTAGATCTTAAAAGGAATGTCAATTTGTCCGTGTCTCTTATTTCAGAGATTTTGTCTAACCATTCTTCGATATTAGGTATGTGATCTTCTTTCCAATGTCTTGCCAGGACTATTCTCGCTGCGGTAGAGATGTACGTCCAAATAATGTCTTTGTTGCTGTTGAGCTTGAAGTCTTCGTCCGTCAGCCCTAATAAAAAGTACTCCGGTTTCCTGGGAAATTTCTTCTTTAGTATTTTTTGGGTTTCTGTCTGGAGTTCTACCCAAAATTCCTGCACCTTTGGGCAGGTCCACCACATGTGGAAATAGGTGCCTGAGTGGGCCTTGCACTTCCAACACGAGTTCTGATATTTTTTGTACATTTGGCTCAGCTTGTATGGTGTAAGGTACCATTGGTGGAAGGTTTTCAGCCAGTTTTCTTTTAATGCCGAGGAGTAGGTGTATTTTAGCTTCTTCCGCCAAATCGTCTGCCATTCGTGTAGCTTTACTGGCAGGGGCGGCTCGTCCATTACGCGAAGTAAGCGGTCGCAGAACACTTTTTTTGCCAGGGGCGCAGAGGCGCCTCTGTAAATGCCCCTCGACTGCCACTTGAGGAGCGCCCCCTCAGCTCACAACAGCCCTAGCAGTCCGGGGGGAGCCTCGGCTTTCTTGCCTCGCTGCCGGGCGATCCTCTTCCCAAAGGGGCCGGGCCCTTGAGCCTCGCCTAGCCCCTCTCGTTCCTGCTCCACCCGGCCACCGGGTGCGTGAGCACAGCTGGTGCTCTGCGTTCGATCCCTTCCCCATGACCGGCTCCCTTTCCTGATTCTCCGGCGCTCCACCCACCTCCTCTCTCCCCAATCCGCGGGTGGGCAAAGGGGTGGAGCCGCCATGCCTGGCCTGCTTCGGGTCCGGAGGCGTGTCTGAAGACCCCAGCGTGCGCACCAAAAGTAGCCTCTTCTCCTGACTTTCTCTTCAGCCATTGGGACCAAGAGAGAGAGAGAGAGAGAGAAAGAGCCCCTCCAGCTGGAGGTATCTCCCACCTCCGCTCCCTCCTTTGTTTTTGCGCCTACCTTCAGGAAAGGTGGACATCACCACCTCTCTCTCTCTCTCTCAGACCCAATGGCTGAGGAGAAAGTAACAGAAAATATATATCAATGATTGGTTGGGGGGGGGGGGGTGGCGCCAAAATACTGTTTGCTTACTGTTGAAAATTACCTAGGGCCGCCTCTGTTTACTGGTCGCCCGATATTTTTTGCCCAGAGGATCATGCAATTTTTGATTTCCTCTGTTTCCGTTTCCCAGGTTAGGAGCTGGTTGTACAGCTTGGTGATGATTTTCTTTTCCGTTTTCAGTACTACATCCCAGGGTGTCTCTTTTTCTTCAAAGCCGAGCTTCTCATCTTGTTTATATGTTTCTCGGAGCTAGAAGTACTGTAACCATGTCAAGTTTTTAAAGGACCGAACCAGTTCTTCCTGCGGTTTTAGAGTCCATGAGTTGTCATTTCTGTTTTTGACTAGTAAATCTCTATAAATTGGCCATTGCTGCCAGCCTAGCAAACGCCTTTGCTTTTCCTCGAACGGCGAGAGCCACAATGGGGTCTTGGCATAGAAATATTTTTTATATTTGGTCCAGATTTTGAGGAGAGTGGATCTGACAAAATGATTTTCGAAATTTCCTTCTATTTTGGATCTATCGTACCACAGGTACGCGTGCCATCCCGCTCTTAAGTTGAAACCTTCTAGTGTTAAAGTGTTTTCTTTTTTGAGGGTGACCCAGTCCTTCACCCAGGCAAGCACACAGGCTTCAAAGTAGGATTTTAAGCTAGGGAGACCGAAACCCCCTCTTTCTTTCCTGTCCACCATTATTCGTTGTTTCATCCTGGGCTTCTTCCCATTCCAAATGAACTTGGCTAGGTCTTTATTCCATTGATCAAAAACTTTGTTGTTTCTTATGATAGGCAGATTTTGAAAGAGGTAAAGTAGCCTGAGTAGGATGTTCATTTTAATCATCCCTATCCTTCCTAGAAGGGCTCTCAGAGATCTCCAGTTCGTTAAGTCTGTTTTAACCTTTTTCCATGTCGTCTCATAGTTGTTCTTGAGCAACTGAGCATTTTTGGCTGTAATCCAGATCCCTAGATATTTTATTTTTTTATTAATTGAGAAGCCCGTGCTATTTTTTAAAAAAGACACCTCTCTATCAATCTCAGCACAACTCTATATAGTCAAAATCCATCAGAAATTGATCACAAATCTGGAGATTTCTAGAGAGCTGTTCTTTGTAGGCATTCCTAGGTCCTGCAGCACAACAATATGGTTAATTTCCAGCAGACCTAAGTATCCACAGATGTTGGTCTCTATGGGGAGTCCTGGAACCAAGCTGGTCATGACTCTGCTTCCAACTAGCCCTGCTTCCATCTCATCCTGGCCCTATTTGACCTTTTTGCAGACATTCAAGCATCTGCTTTTAATATTTCCACCATGCAGCCTACCCCGATGTGAACTCTGATGTGCTTGCTCTACCTTGACCTCCCAACTCCTGGCTTCAAATATGGGATTTGCATTAAAGCATCAAACCAATCTAGCATGAGTCTTTTACCTTGGTACATGTCTGCAGACACAGGGCAACTGAGTCCCAAGGCCTCCTCCACTGTGAACGTCTGACAGAAATCACGAAGCATTTTAATCCCAAGTCCACATCTTCTGGACTTTCTCCGGACAAACATGGTGTCCAAAACTGGGAGCAAGTAACATTGGCTGGTGAATCCATCACACAGGCTTCCTGGAAGTGGGTCACAAAAAATTGCCTGTGAATAGACTCAATTCTATACAGCGCACATGAACGCACTCATTCTAATCAGCCCAGCAGACTGGTTTTGGAAACAATTGTGAGAGCTCTCTTTGCCTGGATCATAGAATCATAGAATCATAGAAACAAAGAGTTGGAAGAGACCTCACGGGCCATCCAGTCCAACCTCATTCTGCCAAGGAGCAGGAATATTGCATTCAAATCACCCCTGACAGATGGCCATCCAGCCTCTGTTTAAAAGCTTCCAAAGAAGGAGCCTCCACCACACTCCGGGGCAGAGAGTTCCACTGCTGAACGGCTCTCACAGTCAGGAAGTTCTTCCTCATGTTCAGATGGAATCTCCTCCCTTGTAGTTTGAAGCCATTGTTCCGTCCTAGTCTCCAGGGAAGCAGAAAACAAGCTTGCTCCCTCCTCCCTGTGGCTTCCTCTCACATATTTATACATGGCTATCATAGCTCCTCTCAGCCTTCTCTTCTTCAGGCTAAACATGCCCAGCTCCTTAAGCCGCTCCTCATAGGGCTTGTTCTCCAGACCTTTATCATTTTAGTCACTCTCCTCTGGACACATTCCAGCTTGTCAATATCTCTCTTGAATTGTGGTGCCCAGAATTGGACACAATATTCCCGATGTGGTCTAACCAAAACAGAATAGAGGGGTAGCATTACTTCCCTAGATCTAGACACTATGCTCCTCTTATTTATTTCATATATTTATATCCCGCCCTTCTCCCCACAAAGGGGACTCATCGCGGCCTCACATGAGCATCAAAGGATGCTAACAGATCTCTGATTGCCAAAGCTGTAGGAGTTTCCAGATAGACAAATTATGCTATTTAATGTTGGAAATAGCAATCTTCTTCAAGCCTCCACTACTTATATGTTGCGTATATAATTCAGATTGCTTAGTGTATTGGTATGCAGTTTTCCTTAGCTCTATGTTGTGGGAGGGGCTGCAGACCACATGACCAGATCTGGGACTATTCAGGACTCAGACTCCATTTTAGAAAGGCAGAAGTCATTAGATTTTCAATGTAGAAACAGTATCATAAAATCATAGAGTTGGAGGAGACCTTGTGGGCCATCCAGTCCAACCCCCTGCCAAGAAGCAGGAAAATTGCATTCAATTGCATTTAAAGTCCTGAACAGTTCTGGCCCAGATTACCTGTCCGAACGTATCTCCTGCTAAGAACCGTCACAAAGCTTAAGATCAGGAGAGGGCCTGCTCTCTATACCACCACTCTCACAAATGCAGTTGGTGGGGATGAGAGACAGGGCCTTCACGGCAGTGGCCCCCCATCTGTGGAACTCTCTCCCTAAGGATATCAGGTTGGCCACCTCCCTCCTGTCCTTTAGAAGACAACTGAAGACCTGGCTCTGGGGCCAGGCATTCAATTAGAGGCCAGCGGTAATAGGAAAAGGAAATTTGGATTTTGCAATATGGATTCTCCCAGCTCGGCTTGGTTTTACTGGCATGTTAATCTATTAATTTATTGTTAAATTTTACAGATGATGTTGTATAATGCTTTAAAATGATTTTATTGTGAATTGTAATTTTTATGGTATTTATGCTGTTAGCATCCTTTGATGCTCATGTGAGGCCGCGCTGAGTCCCCTTTGTGGGGAGAAGGGCGGGATATAAATATATGAAATAAATAAATTCAACAGATGGGGTACCTTAGAAGTCTTTACATACTGAGACTCTATTAGACTCTCAGACCAGAGAGATGCTTTACACTATGGACTATTGATTATGGGAATGATGTCCTGTGTTATCTGCTCAGAGAAACTACTTCAAATTCTAATTCAATAACTGGCTTGATATGCAAAGTACCTGTATGCTGAATACATTAAGTTTGTGAGTAAACCAACTATGTTATTTTAACAGACGACTTGGTTTTTGGTCTCTTGAGAGCATTATTTAAACCAAGATATTTTAAGAGAGAGTAGATATTTTTCAGCAAGTGAAAAAACACTTCTGAAACTCTGCTATCTATCTATCTATCTATCTATCTATCTATCTATCTATCTATCTATCTATCTATGTGCATTCGCATATCTTTCTTCCTAACAGTTCAAAGAGATATCTAGGTATATCAGTTTAACAGCTGAGAAGCCTAATTGCCTTGCATGAATACTAGTGGATATTTACCACTAAGGAGAAAGTTGACTCAAGCGAGGTTTTTAACTCTTCTCAGGGAGATTCCTGGTTTTCCCAAAAGGTTATGAATGCCATTTTCCAAAAGGTTATAGAGATTTCCATTTCCCCAAAAGTTTATGGCATCATTTAAAAAAAAAAAAAAAGCTATTTAAGTGTGATCCCACTGAAAAGGACTGAATGAATATTGAAATAATTAAACCTGCGAATGCTACTCTACGAACGGTATGCGAGTAGTTTGTTCTGTCACAAGGTAAGAGGGTTGTCTCTGAGCCTTTGAAGATCTTTTGATAAGGAAATCTCTTGTGAAGTGAGGGCTCAGGACCCAGATGGTGATGCTGAGGGACTCCTGTTTGGCTTCCTGGCCAGTGGCCTGTGGGGTCCCTCAGGGTTCTATTTTGTCCCCCATGTTATTTAACATATACATGAAACCGCTGGGAGAGGTCATCAGGAGTCTGGAGTACAGTACCATGGATATGCAGATGACACCTCTTGTCGAGCAATTTAGAATGGCTGTGGATTAGGCCCAAGCCATTGTGGGTTACCTGGTGAGAAAAGAGAAGCCAATATTCCAGAATAAATCTCACCAAGTTGAAGCAGAAGCCACTGAGATGTTTATTTCATTCCAGCTGGAGTGGATGTCAAACTGCAATCATTTGCCAAAGCCAACATAGTTTGCAAAGGGGAATATTACAGTTTTTATAGGCAATACAGAGCTGTCAAATTCAAATTTCCTGCTCAAGCCCCCCTCGCTGGCTTCGCGCTGATTGGTTGGAGTCATCAGCTGGCTGGGAGGTGCGGCCGGCTTAGCTGCACCCCAGCCAATCAGGGAGCCAGCGCCACTCTCGGCCAATTGGAAGGAAGGAGGCGGTCCGGGCAGGAAGCAATGAACTGAGAGGAAAAGATGAATGGATTAAATGACTAATGTTTGTAGAACTCCAGGCAATAGCTTTTCCTAAGCCCTCGAGCCGGCTTGACCATTGTCTTTAGTTTCTGGAAATCCACAAGCATGTGGACAATTTCAACAGAAAGGAGGAAATCATGAAAATGAACAAAATCTGACTACCAGTATTAAAAAACTCTAAAATTACAACAGCAAAACAACAGAGAGGAAACAATCAAGGACATCTAATCACATCTCAACAAAAGATTGCCCCAGGCACTGTCAGGCCATCAAATAGTAATCAAGGTGGTCAGTTGAAACATTCACACCTAGCTCCAACAGACAAGAGTTCTTTGTCCCACCCTGGTCATTCCACAGATATATAAACCCATTTTCCTTGTTCCAACAGACCTCACTACATCTGAGAATGCTTGCCATAGATGCAGGCGAAAGGTCAGGAGATAATGCCTCTAGAACATGGCCATATAGCCCGAAACAACCTACAACAACCCAAACTAACAGTAGTTAGTCCTTGCCTCAGGCAAGGCCCAGGCTAAAAGGTCAAATGCCTTTTGTGACAAGGTTTTCAGTAAATTACAGTAGACTCCAGTAAATGTAGCAGTTACCTTCTGCTATAAATATATGAAATATAGGGTATAAATCTTGATTGAATGTATACACCATCTAACCTGTTGTAGTTGTTAGTTCTTCTACAGATTGGCCAAACCTTAACCCTTATTATATCATTCCAGCCTGGTGTCCTTGGCAAAACTATGAATTCCCTGATTATAACTATATTTTATTGGGGGGGGGGGGGGGTCATGTTCAACAACAAACATACATAAGGCACTTTGGAAACCATGTTGGCCATTTTTTTGTAGACATGGCAAGTGTGCTCAAAATAAACATACCTTTTGCTTTGATGGTGTAGAAGGCAACTGCTTCTCCTCTTGTCCAAAATATCTTGGCACACTCTTTTTCGGAGTGCGGCACAAAGAGTGCGTCACAGGCCAGGCTCCTCTCCAGCATTCCAAAAATGATGCAGTTCAGCACAAAAAGGACAATCCTTTCTGCAAACGTCTCTACCTTACAAGGCAAACCAAGCCAGGAGACAGTGGAGAGAAAACAGGAGAAAACAGGTGGAAATTATTGCCAAATTGGAATTCAATTTCTTTTAATGCAGCCGACCGACGCTGGATGAAAACAGTGAAGATGGTAAGGCATCCTGATTTGTAAAAACAAATACATTGAGGGCCCATCCACACAGTACCTTTATTACAGGTACTCCCAGTTCAAAATGGCTGGTGGCCAAATGGCGTCCTCTGAAAACATGAGAGGAATTGCTACAAAGCACTAAAAATGCAAGATTTTCAGCTGTGGGAATATCTTAGTTCTGGTCAGAAAATGCAGATCTTTGGATCTCTGTATGTCCCTACACTCAGAAAATATGGGATTTTTTTATGTTGGTTTGTTCCTGGATGATACACATCAGTTCCTGATTGGTTGTATACTAAGAACATGGCAACAGTTGACTGCAGAGTGAAAATTTTATCCAGGCAAGGGAAACTTCGCCCTTAGTACCTTTAATGAAGTTTATGACACATAAGCAAAGGTTTTGCCCTATATTCCATTTTCCACATGTTTTATGATAAAAGCAATGAGCAGACATGTATAACCAGGAACATCACCCCGTTGTTCCCAGGCACAAGTACATCACTAAACGTGTCTGGACTGATGGCCACACAGGCTCTGAACCCCTTTCAATCAGGCTTTCATTCAGGTCATGGGACAGAGACTGTCTTGGTAGCTATTATTGATGAAATTCGTCGTCAGTTAGACTGAGGCAGATCAGCGTTATTGGTACCCTTGTACCTCATTCGACACTGTGGACCATGACTTGCTGATCCATCGATTGGCTATGTCTGGTGTACGAGGTTTAGCCCTTAAATGGTTCAATTCGTTTCTCCGGGGAGACAGAGGGTGGAGTGGTTAGGCCAAAGCTCTGAGAGCGCCTGCCTTTGTTGTGGAGTTCCCCAGGGTGCTATCCTCTCGCCCCTGTTATTTAACATCTACGTCCGACCACTTGCTGAACTGGTGTGGAGCTTTGGCATAGAGTGCTACCGGTATGCAGATGATACCCAGATACTCTTGCATCTCGAACCTGGGACAACCGCGATTCCTGAGAACTTTAAGCTGTGTTTGGAAGCAGTGATGAGTTGGCTGCGAGCGAGCAGACTAAAAGTAAATCTGCAAAAACTGAGATACTCTGGCCCGGCCAGCCACCAAAATTAATCCAGTCTCTGCCTGATTTCGATGGGGAAGCTCTGGTTCCGTCTGCCACTGTTAAAAGCCTTGGGGTTGTGTTGGACTCATCGCTGACGATGGAGGCCCAGATCACTGCCATAAGTAAGCAGGCCTTTTTTCATCTTCGCCAGGCAAGGAAATTGGCATCCTACCTTTCGGTAGAAGCATTGGCAACGGTAATCCACACAACAGTCACCACTAGGTTGGACTATTGCAACACCTTATATGCCGGCTTTCCAAAGTCAACAACCCAGAAGATTCAGATGGTCCAAAATGCGGCGGCCAGGCTGCTAGCGGGATCATCTATAAGATCCCGTATTACACTGATTCTGCAACAACTGTATTGGCTACCAATAGAACATCGGATCTCTTACAAGATACTGATCCTGACATTTAGAGCTCAAAATGGCCAAGGACCTTTATATATTCCTTTTTTCCATCAGTGGTTACCTTGATCCACCCAGGAAAATCTCCTATACATACCGGGCCCTAGGGAGGTACACCTGGAAGCTACAAGGTGTAGAGCTTTTTCGACCTATGCTCCAATTCAGTGGAACTCATTGCCTCCATATGTTAGAGCAATGTCAGAGTTGCAACCTTTTGTAAAAGTGCTCAAGACTTGGCTGTTTGGTTGTGCATTTAAGTAATCAGATCAAATTTGCCAAATAGTCACTGCTAAAGGTTTCTATGTTGAATGTTTTATATTGTAAAATGCTATATTAAATTGTAAGTTGCTCGAAGCACCTTGGTAGAGAGCGACTAATTAAGAAATAAAGTGAAGTGAAGTGAACAATAATAACAGTGACAAAATTCTGTTCCTGGCTTGAAAGGGTCAGTTGCTGTTTACTCGTGTCGTCCTGACTTTGAAAGTAGCGGTCCTAGTCCACAAACTTCATTAAACATGTGTAGAGGATGAAGTTTCTCTTGCCAAGACAGTTTTCACCCTCTAGTTAACCTTTGCCACCTTTTCTGGATAAACGTAATGAGGAATAGATATGGATGACCCAGGAACAAAACTCGTACGAACACAAACTCCTCACAACCTCTGAGGCTGCCTGCCATAGATGCAGGCGAAACATCAGGAGAAAATGCTTCTGGAACATTGCCAGACAACCCGGAAAACTCACAACAACCCAGTGATTCCGGCCATGAAAGCCTTTGAAAATACATATTCCAAAATGGTTTTGATGCCTGGGTTAAACGATGGCGCAAATGCATCCAAACTGATAGTGACTATGTTGAATGGTAGTTTTGCGTAGAGGACAGTTCAGGCTAGGATCTGGAGCAACTTCTGCTGTTATAGGTTCATTCAAAATGTTTTTATCACATAGAGGGCAAAACTTTTTGATTCACCCTTAGATTTATTTGTTTATTTTTTGGTCGGGTCAGGAGCAACTTGAGAAACTGCAAGTCGCTTCTGGTGTGAGAGAATTGGCCGTCTGCAAGGACGTTGCCCAGGGGACACCCGGATGATTTGATGTTTTTATCATCCTTGTGGGAGGCTTCTCTCATGTTCCTGAATGAGGAGCTGGAGCTGATAGAGGGAACTCACCCCCTCTCCCCGGATTTGAACCTGCGACCAGTCCTGCCGGCACAGGGGTTTAACCCACTGCGCCACCCTCAGATAGATAGATAGATAGATAGATAGATAGATAGATAGATAGATAGGATAGTGCAGGCCCGTAGCCAGGATTTCGTTTCGGGGGTTTGGGGGGGGGCTGAGTTTTGGGGGGGGCTGAGTCTGAGTGAAAGAGAGTCTACCCTAGCAATTTGTAGAATCGGTGTTAGGAAATGGATGACTTGAAGGCTGGTAGACACATACTTATTTGGCATATAGATCGGACATTGATTAATTGGCTGATTAGCAGTAAGTATCCCCAGTCTGCTTTAGGCATGCAATTTTTGAAGGCTTACTGCTGACAGAGATGAATGGCTTCGAGTAAAATCCTCACCTGAATCAGACCTTCCCGGAAAGGATCGGCTGTCTTCAGCACATCTTCAATGAGCCACCAGGAACTGTGCAAATGCAGTGCTACAACTGGCAAAGGAAGAAATTTCTATATACACCAATTGCAACAATGATATCAAGAGCACCTACAGCTTTTTCAGAAACATGGCTAGGTTATTGCCATCTCCTTATTATACTGATGAGCTGCTGTATCTATATAAATAAAAATGTAATGTTCGTTAATGGGATTAACATAACTCAAAAACCACTGGACGAATTGACACCAAATGTGGACATATTACACATATCAGGCCAACGAGTGACCATCACTCATAAAAACACTGAAAAACACAGCAGAAGGGACTTAAAAGGCCAATAATGAAAGGACCAAGGCAGAGACATCTCCAGCTCATCACCTGTTTGGGTATCAGCCAGCACGTCAATGACTTAAATCTAGAAATAGTTTTCTAAGATCTACAGAGACACTCACTGGAACACCTCAGCAAGCGAGAGTCCAAAAGTGGCAGGCACAAACCCAGAACCTCAACCAATGGCTGATACCAAATGAGACTCCTCCCTGGGGACACAGAAGACTGGGCGACTTGGAAAGCGCTGAACAGACTGCGCTCTGGCACCACGAGATGCAGAGCCAACTTTATGAAATGGGGCTACAAAGTGGAATCCACGACTTGCGAGTGGGGAGAAGAGCAAACCACTGACCACCTGCTGCAATGCACCCTGAGCCCTGCCACATGCACAACGGAGGACCTTCTTGCGGCAACACCAGAAGCACTCCAAGTGGCCAGATACTGGTCAAAGGACATTTAATCAACTACCAAACTCGCAAATTTTGTATTTTGTCTGTTTGTTTGTTTTGTTCTGTTAGAAATGTAATACAATTGACTGGTTGCCCTGACACGACAAATAAATAAATACGGATTAATTGCATTGGATTATATGGCCATATCGATCCAGCCTGTGCCAAGGTATAGGAAATCTTTAGCTATTTCAATGTCTTCACTGCCTATTTTAAAGTTATATAAAATCCCCTGTAGTTATTATTTTTGTCTTCAATTGTGTATCAACTGTAACCCTGCTTTTGCCCTTTCTTCCTTATCTAGAGAAAATAGCTTTAGTAGGTCTACTATAGGTGAATTAAAACCATGGGTTTTTTCCTACTGACATTTTCAAAATTACATATTGTAAATATCCATGTGTGCATTTATCCTCGGCTTATAAACAGATTTGTAAATACTATTTGGAACAGAAAGACGTTTTAAAACACCAGGGTGATGCTTAATGTGATTATAACAACAGTGTGGCTGTCATGAAAAGCAGGATTACATAATTCCCAGTCCCAGGGCTCACTCATGCAATGGCTGCAACCCAACATGCCCTCGGTGTAACATTAATATGCGCGTGAGGAGGTACGATTTACCAGCATTTCATGTAGAGTAGCCACATTGTACCATAAATGTCAACGAGTGGATGCTCCTGTTCAATGCCCAGCATGCAGTGAGCAATATAACCACATGAACACAATGCAATCCCAGACCCACAACCACTATGCACTGTCCTTAAGAGAGAATTCAATAACACTGTTGCATGAGGAGATATGCTTCTGCTATTTATTTATTTATTTGTTTATTTATTTATCGTGTTAGGAGCAACCAGACAGTTGTATTACATTTTTAACAAAACAAACAAACAGACAAAACACAAAGTTTGCAAGCTTGGTAGTTGATTAAATGTCCTTTGACCACTAGCTGGCCAGTTGGAGTGCTTCTGCTGTTGCTGCAAGAAGGTCCTCCATTGTGTGTAGCAGGGCTCAGGTTGCATTGCAGCAGGTGGTCAGTGGTTTGTTCTTCTCCACACTTGCATGTCGTGGATTCCACTTTGTAGCCCCATTTCTTAAGGTTGGCTCTGCATCTCGTGGTGCCAGAGCGCAGTCTGTTCAATGCCTTCCAAGTCACCCAGTTTTCTGTGTGCCTAGGGGGAAGTCTCTCATTTGTTCTCAGCCATTGAGGTTCTGGGTTTGAGCCTGCCACTTTTGGACTCTTGCTTGCTGGGATGTTCCAGCGAGTGTTTCTGGAGATCTTAGAAAACTATTTCTTGATTTCAGTCGTTGACATGCTGGCTGATACCCAAACAAGGGATGAGCTGGAGATGTCACTGCCTTGGTCCTTTCACTATTGGCTGCTACTTCCCGGCGGATGTCAGGTGGTGCAATACCGGCTAGACAGTGTAATTTCTCCAGTGGTGTAGGGCACAGACACCCCGTGATAATGCGGCATGTCTCATTAAGAGCCACATCCACTGTTTTAGCGTGGTGAGATGTGTTCGACACTGGGCATGCATACTCAGCAGCAGAGTAGCATAATGCAAGGGCATATATCTTCACTGTGTCTGGTTGTGATCCCCAGGTTGTGCCAGTCATCTTTCATATGATATTGTTTCTAGCATAGATATAGTCCTGCTGTCAGCAGAATATATCTCTGGCCCCCTTTTGGAGAATCCACCCAGCAAAGCCATATACAAGTGTAAAACTAACTAAATGAAGTTCAACAGTGACAAATGTAGGAGACTCCACTTAGGCAGAAAAAAATGAAAGGCAAAGAGACAGAATGGGGGATGATACCTGTCTCAACAGCAGGAGGTGGGGGAAAAGTCTTGGAGTCCTCGTGAGGAGGAAGGGGAACATGAACCAGGAATGTCATGCGCTGGCAAAAAAAAGCCAATGGGATTTTGGCCTGCATAAATAGGAGTCTAATGTTTAGATTCAGGGAAGTCATGCTCCCCCTCTATTCTGCCTTGCTCAGACCACACTTGGAATACTGTGTCCCATTCTGGGAACCACAATTGAAGGGAGATGTTGACTCTAAGCTGGAATGTGTCCAGAGGAAAAGGCGACTCAAAGAATCCAGGGTCTGGGGAACAAACCCTATGAGGAGTTGCTTAAAGAGCTTGGAATGTTTAACCTGGAGAAGACTAACAAAACTAACAAAATGAAGTTTACCAGTGACAAATGCAAGATACTCCACTTTGGCAAGAAAAACAAAATGCAAAGATACAGAATGGGAGACGCCTGGCTCGAGAGTAGTATGTGTGAAAAAGATCTTGGAGTCCTCGTGGACAGAAAGTTAAACATGAGCCAACAATGTCATGTGGCGGCAAAAAAAGCCAATGGGATTTTGGCCTGCATCAATAGGAGCATAGTGTCTAGATCTAAGGAAGTCATGCTACCCCTCTATTCTGCCTTGGTTAGACTACACCTGGAATATTGTGTCCAATTCTGGGCACAATTGAAGAGAGATATTGACAAACTGGAATGTGTCCAGAGGAGGGCGACTAAAATGATCAAGGGTCTGGAGAAAAAGTCCTATGAAGAGCGGCTTAAAGAGCCGGGCATGTTTAGCTTGAAGAAGAGAAGGTTGAGAGGAGACATGATAGCCATGTATAAATATGTGAGAGGAAGTCACAGGGAGGAGGGAGCAAGCTTGTTTTCTGCTTCCCTGGAGACTAGGACACGGAACAATGGCTTCAAACTACAATAAAGGAGGTTCCATCTGAACATTAGGAAGAACTTCCTGACTGTGAGAGCTGTTCAGCAGTGGAACTCTCTGCCCCGGAGTGTGGTGGAGGTTCCTTCTTTGGAAGCTTTTAAACAGAGGCTGGATGGCCATCTGTCAGGGGTGATTTGAATGCAATATTCCTGCTTCTTGGCAGGGGGTTGGACTGGATGGCCAATGAGGTCTCTTCCAACTCTTTGTTCTATAAGAGAGAGACGGCAGAGAGGAGACATGAGGAGGGGCATGGATCAAGGTGTGAGGGGAAGTCACAGGGAGGAGGGAGCAGGCTTCCTTTCTGCTGCCCTGGAGACTAGAACACAATGGAGCAATGGCTTCAAGCTACCAAAAAGAAAGGAGATTCCACATAAACATGAGGAAGAACTTCCTCACTGTGAGAGCTGTTCAGTGGTGGAACTCTCTGCCCTGGAGTGTGGTAGAGGCTCCGCCCTTCTCCGCATGGGGACTCAGAGCGGATTACAGCATATAAACAGACACAGGCAAACATTCAATGCCTTGTTACAATGACATACAGTGAAACACAAATACATAAAGGAAAAGGCTTCTCCTTTCATTTCCGGTTCTGGGGGAGGTACTCATCTCCATTTCCACTTGGGGACTGCATGTATATGATAGCAATGTGGGATGCCTTCCATAGAATTCCTTTACAATAGTGAAAGGACCAAGGCAGAGACATCTCCAGCTCATCCCCTGTTTGGGTATCAGCCAGCATGTCAACGACTTAAATCTAGACATAGTTTTCTAAGATCTACAGAGACACTCGCTGGAACACCTCAGCAAGCGAGAGTCCAAAAGTGGCAGGCTCAAACCCAGAACCTCAACCAATGTGATACCAAATGAGAGACTCCCTCCTGGGCACACAGAAGACTGGGCGACTTGGAAGGCGCTGAACAGACTGCGCTCTGGCACCACGAGATGCAGAGCCAACCTTCAGAAATGGGGCTACAAAGTGGAATCCTCGACATGCGAGTGTGGAGAAGAGCAAACCACTGACCACCTGCTGCAATGCAACATGAGCCCAGCCACATGCACAATGGAGGACCTTCTTGCAGCAACACCGGAGGCACTCCAAGTGGCCAGATACTGGTCAAAGGACATTTAACCAACTACCAAACTCACAAGTTTTGTATTTTTCTGTTTGTTTGCTTTGTTCTGTTAGAAATGTAATATAATGGACTGGTTGCTCTGACACGACAAATAAATAAATAAATTACTTTACAGCCTCTTCCCATTTGGCGCCAAACTCCCTTTGCTACAGCAGTAATATCTATTTTTTCCCAACAATTATCTGAGGCATCATTAGTGAAGACAAAGAAGGGGGAGGAAAGAATACACTAACCTGAACTTTTGTCTTGAGGATCAGTTAAAACCAGAATCTTCCATTGACTTTCTTCTCTGTAGAGAGGGAGGAAGTGCATCAAGGAAGCCTCAAGTTGAACCTAGGATTAAATAGGTTATTTACATTCCTAATACCCAAGCCCAAAGTGTAGTGCTGACACAAAGCAGAAAAAGAGCAGAATTATCATCAACACCCTATGATTTTCAAACCACTCTTTCTCGGAATGGTCTTTTATTGAACTCTCCTATAAGTGATTAGAGACTCAAAGGAATGGAACCTAAAAACCATAATGTCTGAAATGTTTATTGAAGGCAACCTCCTCTCCGTACACAGAGGCTTAAACTTTAGATTCTTGACCTCCGCCTGCAAGGATATGCACAGCATGGTTGCACATTACATGCCACTTCTAAAATAATACAATCTGGGAATTGCCTTACATTGAACTCCAACATGCCATTATGCACGCAAAGGGAAGCAATTGAAGAATCATACAGTCTCTGTTGTGCAATTCGTTCCTTCCTTCTTTGCCATTTTTTTAAATCAGAGGATTGCCTTGGTTTCAAGCAAAAACAAGAGGCACTCAAAATGGATAAATGCTGACAATCAGGAATGGTGGCAACGCAATGGTTTAATCTTTCAGGTCCCATAGGACTGCTGTTTTAAATTGCCAGACCATGTCCTGACTTCCTCAGTCTCTAGCCTGGGTGTTACTACAACCATATTTACTCATACGTAATGCTCACCTTTTCTGACTAAATTACCTTCCCAAAATTAGGGTGCATTAAGTTTTCAAGGCTGGGGTGAAAATTGCTGGAAGAAACATTAACAACCTTAGATATGCAGATGACACCACTTTGATGGCTGAAAGCGAGGAGGAGCTGAGGAGCCTTCTAATCAAGGTGAAAGAAGAAAGTGCAAAAGCTGGGTTGCAGTTAAACATAAAAAAAAACAAGATTATGGCAACAAGAATGACTGACAACTGGGAAATAGAGGGAGAAAACGTGGATGCAGTGACAGACTTTGTATTTCTAGGTGCAAAGATGACTGCAGACGCAGACTGCAGTCAGGAAATCAGGAGACGCTTACTTCTTGGGAGGAGAGCAATGACCAATCTTGATAAAATAGTGAAGAGTAGAGACATCACACTGGCAACAAAGATCCGCATAGTTAAAGCAATGGTATTCCCCATAGTTACCTACGGATGTGAGAGCTGGACCATAGGGAAGGTTGAGCGAAGGAAGAGAGATGCTTTTGAACTGTGGTGCTGGAGGTAAGTTCTGAGAGTGCCCTGGACAGCGAGAAAATCCAACCACTCCTTACTTCAAGAAATAAAGCCTGACTACTCATTGGAGGGAAGGATAGTAGAGGCAAAGGTGAAGTCTTTTTGGCCACATCATGAGAAGACAGGAAAGCTTAGAGAAGACAATGATGCCGGGAAAAATGGAAGGAAAAAGGAAGAAGCGCCGACCAAGGGCAAGATGGATGGATGGGATCCTTGAAGTGACTGGATTGACCTTGAAGGAGCTGGGGGTGGTGACGGCTGACAGGGAGCTCTGGCGTAGGCTGGTCCATGCGGTCACGAAGAGTCGGAAACGAATGAACAACAACAAAAAGATTTGCGTAATATGGTAAATACTTTTTTGGGTTTCCAGGTTTTGAAAATTGATGTGTGCATTAGATTTGATGATGCATGAGACTCGAGGAAATATGGGTAAGGTGCTCAAAATAGGGACTCAAATATTACTTCGAGCTTCAGCAAGAGGCAGGCAACACATTGTATAATAGCGTTTCTATACTATATAGGGAATCTAGACTTCCCTCATTTTGAAATGATAATCATGATATCGAATATAGTTGGGCATCCTAATTGTATTGACAGACACCATGATTATGGAGCCACCGGTGGCGCAGTGGGTTAAAGCACTGTGCCAGCAGGACTGAAGACCGACAGGTCGCAGGTTCGAATCTGGGGAGAGGCGGATGTGCTCCCTCTATTAGCTCCAGCTCCTCATGCGGGGACATGAGAGAAGCCTCCCACAAGGATGATAAAACATCAAAAATCATCCAGGCGTCCCCTGGGCAACGTCCTTGCAGACGGCCAACTCTCACAACAGGAGCGGTTGCTCCTGACACGACCAACAACAACCATGATTATGATTTCAGAATGGGGGAAGGCTAGATTTCCTATACTGTATAGAAACGCTATTATACAAATTTCAAGGCAATCGGCTAGAATGTGTTTTCCACTGATGGTACATTGGTTAAAGAAGTAGTGGCAAGTGTGAATAAAGTTCTACAATCTCTACTGCACCCCATTATCCAAAAAGATCTACCCAATTGAAAAAAGAGACTATTGCTCATCTGTGCATTTCTCTATTTCTAAAAGAATATATGCAAATATTAAAATGGCACCGATTAATGGCACCCCCAGAAAAAGTCAGATTGAAACCGGTGAGGTCACAAGAGTGAAGCGTTAAAAATGAAGGAGATTCTCACCTATGTATTTATGTGCAGCAGCTGCTTTTATGTCTTGAATGTACTTCATCTGAGTGTCATCTAATTTTCTTTTTGAGGACCTCACAACTTCTGAGGATGCCTGCCACAGATGCAGGCAAAACGTCAGGAGAAAATGTTTCTGGAACATGGCCAGACAGCCCAGAAAACACACAACAACCCAGTGATGCTGGCCATGAAAGCCTTTGACGGTGCTGTGGAATTCGGGGAGGCACAAATTGGGGGGGGGGGGGGAACGTGCCAAGAGGAAGGAGGCACATCAAGCCAACCATTGTCAGAACCCTTCCACCTGGAAACCGGTGTCCTCACTGCGGAAGAACATGTGGATCAAAAATAGGCCTCTAAAGCCACCTATGTGTCCACCGCCAAAACACAACACTTAGAGGTCCATCATCCTCGGGCTACGAGGGATTGCCTAAATAGTTTCATCAAGTAAGTAAGTGGTATATAAAGCAGTTTCAGAATGCAGTTTAACTGAATTGAACTGGGTAACATGAGCCTACACTGCCATATAATGTAGTTCAATGCCAGCTGGATCTACACTGCCATATAATGCAGTTTCACAAGGCATTCTGAAGCTGTGTTGTATGTTGGTGGGTCTAGCTGCAGTTAAACTACATCTTGAAGCTACATTATATAGCAGCGTATCTGTGGCCTAGGTTCATCTTCTTTCCAGTCTTCCATAACAGAATGGAGTTCTGGGTCTTCACAAACTACACATCTGTCACAGGACAAAAAAGAAGAACAGGGAGGGGCAATGCTGACAGGGGATAGGGAAAAGGTAGAACTGCTTAATGCCTTCTTTGCCTCTGACTTCTCACAAAAAGAAAATCATCTTCAACCTCAGCAAGATGGAGTGGATGAGGGATTAGAGGACATCCAACCCCAAACTGGGAAATAAGTCATCCAGGAATACCTGGCCCCCTCTATTCCACCATGGTTAGACCACACCTGGAATATTGTGTCCAATTCTGGGCACCACAATTGAAGAGAGATATTGACAAGCTGCAATGTGTCCAGAGGAAGGCGACTAAAATGATCAAGGGTCTGGAGAACAAGCCCTATGAGGAGCAGCTTAAGGAGATGGGCATGTTCAGCCTGAAGAAGAGAAGACTGAGAGGAGACATGATAGCCATGTATAAATATATGTGAGAGGAAGCCACAGGGAGGAGGGAGCAAGCTTGTTTTCTGCTTCCCTGGAGACTAGGATGCGGAACAATGGCTTCAAACTACAAGAAAGGAGATTCCATCTGAAAATTAGGAAGAACTTTCTGACTGCACGTCAGCACTTCTAATTGTGCTCAGAAGCTAATAGGCAGCGTTGTGCGCTCTCGATATCCCACTCCTGTGAGCAACCTGGCTGCCGAGCGTTGGACTAGCTGAAGCTTCTGCACAGTCTTCAGGGGCAACCATCTGGACATGAAGAAGAACTTCCTGACTGAGAGTCGTTCAGCAGTGGAACTCTCTGAATCATAGAATCATAGAATCAAAGAGTTGGAAGAGACCTCATGGGTCATCCAGTCCAACCCCCTGCCAAGAGGCAGGAATATTGCATTCAAATCACCCCTGACAGATGGCCATCCAGCCTCTGCTTAAAAGCTTCCAAGGAAGGAGCCTCCACCACACTCCGGGGCAGAGAGTTCCACTGCCGAATGGCTCTCACAGTCAGGAAGTTCTTCCTAATGTTCAGATGGAATCTCCTCTCTTGTAGTTTGAAGCCATTGTTCCGTGTCCTAGTCTGCAAGGAAGCAGAAAACAAGCTTGCTCCCTCCTCTCTGTGGCTTCCTCTCACATATTTAACCATGGCTATCATATCTCCTCTCAGCCTTCTCTTCTTCAAGCTAAACATGCCCAGTTCCCTAAGCCGCTCATCGTAGGGCTTGTTCTCCAGACCCTTGATCATTTTAGTCGCCCTCCTCTGGACACATTCCAGCTTGTCAATATCTCTCTTGAATTGTGGTGCCCAGAATTGGACACAATATTCCAGGTGTGGTCTAACCAAAGAGGGGTAGCATTACTTCCTTAGATCTACACTATGCTCCTATTGATTGATTGTCCACGAGGACTCCAAGATCGTTTTCACACGTACTGCTCTCGAGCCAGGCGTCCCCCATTCTGTATCTTTGCATTTTATTTTTTCTGCCAAAGTGGAGTATCTTGCATTTGTCACTGTTGAACTTCATTTTGTTAGTTTTGGCCCATCTCTCTAATCTGTCAAGATCGTTTTGAATCCTGCTCCTGTCCTCTGGAGTATTGGCTATCCCTCCCAATTTGGTGTCGTCTGCAAACTTGATGATCCTGCCTTTTAGCCCTTCATCTAAGTCATTAATAAAGATGTTGAACAGGACCGGGCCCAGGACGGAACCCTGCGGCACTCCACTTGTCACTTCTTTCCAAGATGAAGAGGAAGCATTGGTGAGCACCCTCTGGGTTTGTCCATTTAACCAATTACAGATCCACCTCACCGTAGTTTTGCCTAGTCCACATTGGTCTAGTTTCCTTGCCAGAAGGTCATGGGGGACCTTGTCGAAGGCCTTACTGAAATCCAGGTATGCTACATCCACGGCATTCCCCGCATCTACCCAG